TGGCTATTAAATTATCCCATGAAATTCAAACCCAGCAATAAATTACTCCCTGGAGTTCAACCCTAGTTATAAATTAGTTCATAGAGTTCAACCCTCGCTATTAATTATCCCATGGAATTCAACCCCAGCAATATATTTCTTCTATAGAGTTCAACCCTAACTATAAATGACCCCCTGACGTTTCAATCCTAGCTATACTTTCCGCCCCCCCCCCCATGAAGTTTAACCCTTGATGAAAATTATCCTCATGAAGTTGGATCCTAGCTATAAATAATCCCTCTGAAGTTCGGAGTAAATACCCATTGATACATGCTAATGTATATTCATTTTATTTCAGAGATGACGACTATAGGATGACAGTAACCAGCGGTCTCTGGCCAAACAACGTCTACGTGGTAAGGCGACATTACATTTAAATTCACCGAATAGGAAAATAGATAATGAATAAACTGACAAATTAATAAATTTTATATTTCCAGGATGAAATAATATCAGATGTACAACAGATGAGCACTGATCTACATTCACGAGCAACAGAGGAAGACAACTTTGCATAGTAGGTGTAAATTAGTAATAACAACTTATACAGCTACTACACTTCTTGTGTCGCTAGACCAACGTAGAAATATTACTCAACTAATAATGACGGGATGGTTATTCCCGGCGAAAATATTCAAAACTGATAGTTTCTTATACAAATCATAGATTACTGATAGTGAGACACTCTTCGGTTACTGGTAAAGAGACTTGTTGATTACAGATAGAGAGCGAACCGTTGATTACTGCTAGAGAGAGTTGATTACTGATAGAGAGACTCGTTTATTAATGGTAGAGAGACTCGTTCATTACTGATAGAGAAACTCGTTCATCACTGATAGAGAGAGAGACTCGTTCATTACTGATAGAGATAGACTCGTCCATTACTGATAGAGAGAGACTCGTTCATTACTGATAGAGACTCGTTCATTACTGATAGAGAGAGACTCGTTCATTAATGGTAGAGAGAGACTCGTTCATTACTGGTAGAGAAGGGCTCGTTCATTACTGGTAGAGAGACTCGTTCATTACTGATAGAGAGAGACTCGTTCATTACTGATAGAGAGAGACTCGTTCATTACTGATAGAGAGAGACTCGTTCATTACTGATAGAGACTCGTTCATTACTGATAGAGAGAGACTCGTTCATTAATGGTAGAGAGAGACTCGTTCATTACTGGTAGAGAAGGGCTCGTTCATTACTGGTAGAGAGACTCGTTCATTACTGATAGAGAGAGACTCGTTCATTACTGATAGAGAGAGACTCATTCATTACTGATAGAGAGAGACTCGTTCGTTACTGATGAAGAGACATGTTCATTACTGATAGAGAGACTCGTTCATTACTGATAGTGAGAGACTCGTTCTTTACTGATAATGAGAGACTCGTTCATTACTGATAGAGACTCGTTAATTACTGGCAGAGAGACTCGTTCATTACTGATAGAGAGACATGTTCATTACTGATATAGAGAGACTCGTTCATTACTGATAGAGAGAGACTCGTTCATTACTGATAGAGAGAGGATCGTTCATTACTGATAAAGAGACTCGTTCATTACTGATAGAGAGAGACTCGTTCATTACTGATAGAGAGAGGCTCGTTCATTACTGGATAGAGAGAGACTCGTTCATTACTGGCTAGAGAGAGACTCGTTCATTACTGATAGAGAGAGACTCGTTCCTTACTGATAGAGAGACTCGTTCATTACTGATAGAGAGAGATTCGTTCATTACTGATAGAGAGAGATTCGTTCATTATTGATAGAGAGAGACTCTAGCTCGTTTATTACTGGTAGAGAGACTCGTTCATTACAGATAGAGAGAGGATCGTTCATTACTGATAGAGAGACTCGTTCATTACTGATAGAGAGAGACTCGTTAATTACTGATAGAGAGAGACTCGTTAATTACTGATAGAGAAAGAATCGTTGGTAACTGGTAACATGTTTTAAAATGCAGTCGTTTTTTTCTTTCTACAGTAACAATTTATTAAAAGTGAACATTTATTATGAACAGTTCAACTATGAATCGATTACAGAGTCGCCAGCATACCAGGTACGTTTTATGTGTTCCTAGTACTCACACTATTATAGTACAAATACACTACACAGTCAGAAATACTGTTTTTCCTCTGTGTCCCTTGGTCGTTCGTATTCTATTGAGTAACGGTGCTGTTCAAATCAGCCACGTCATTATAGTCTGTTTAATACTGCACCTTTTTATACCCAATATATTGACATTTACTATCGTTTTATCCCACATCTGGATGTTATGCTAATAATACATTATTAAATTGATAAATGACAGTTAGACAATGGTAATGAATGAATGAATGAATCATTCAATGAATCGATCAATCAATTAATTATTTAATTAATTAATTAATTAATTAATTAATTAAGATAGTAAGAAGAGAAATGTCTTTTTGTCCTTATGTATATTCTTCTAAACACATGAACACGTTCTTGAAACCAGGATGAATTATTGAATATTTAATAAATGACATGCAATTGCAGTGATTTTATATTCACAGTATTAATATGTACTTTCAGTTTTTGTTTCTTTAATTTTCAAATATTCCGTCGATTTATGTTTGTCCAATAATAGGCAGAAGATTTTCTCAGCGATGTTGGTGGACAAATGGGACTATGGATTGGAATGTCAGTCATCACAATTTTTGAATTCCTCGAATTTGTGTTTGACATTTGTTCCTGGATTGGAAGGAAATGCACGGGAAAGAAGAAGAGAAGTACCCTACCCATATAACCAGTGCACACTGGTGTTGAGGACTGAATGAAAAGGACTCCTCATCCCGAATAAAATATTATGAACCTGGCTAATTATTTCAAGTTCGGCTTAATTAAACGAAATACATGTAGTGGCCGGGCGTGGATCTTTGACTATCAGTGTATTTATCTCATACCATGTAAAAAATAAGTTATTTCATATAATTATTTTTTTTAATGTTAAGAAGTTTAATAATATTTATTTTACACCTTTTCTAATCAGCAGGTGTTTGCATCTACACCCCATGTACACGACTGCCGCTAGAGGGCGGCGTGTACCAATCATGATGAAACATTCAATGAAGATTTTCTCCACTTTTGTATTATGATCAGATCAGTATAAACATAAAAAGTGTACCGTACTAAACTGCCATAAAATGTGGTCTCTTATTCTATCATTTACATTGTTTCATTGTTTTTTTTAAATACTTTTAAAAGGGCATTATACCTGTTCCCGTGTGAATATATTAATAGATGTATTTTGTTTGTTTGTATGTTTGCTTGTTTTCTCCAGTATATCAGTAATGACGCTGGGAGAACGTCACAATATTGATGAATAATTATAAATAAAGAGTGATATAAATATGTTGTCCCAGAATAAGGTTTAATTGAAGATTCAACATTGATGATTAAAAATGAACGATGTTGTAATTTTTTTATTTTATTTATTCATTATAGTTGAATTTTAGATGTGCGTCTCCAGCAAACAAGTAATGTTATTGTATTATCACATTCCAAATTAGTAAATAGGAACAATGTTATATACAAATGTACCTGCATCTATAATGTACAGTCGTGATTCTTATTTTCAAAAGAACCATTTTTTAATTAAAAACCATTATTCTGTTTTAACCAGCCTGCTTCTTTACCCTGGTTTTGGCATGGACGAAACATCCACCAATCTATCATCTCCATGGAAATCTTCACACATTATTGATCACTTTTGGCGGAAAAGAGATCAGTTTGGGTGGAAATGACAACTAAGGCATGTAATGGTGGAACTTGCTATTCCGACGTGTCACGATGAGAGTTAGTTTGGTTGTTGGGGGAACACATATTCATGGTCTTTGAAGTGAACTCACGCTTAGAAAGGGGTTAGTTACGAGTACTGTACGCCGTACTTAGACATGCACACAGTCTCTTGTTTATTTTGAGGTGTTTTATTCAATAAAATAAAATATCTTAGGGGTTAGTAAATGGGGAAAGCCGACTTACCGCGAAATAACTTGTTTGTTAACCCGGCCTTTGCCATTTATACACTCCAATATTTTATTCTTTTGAAAAACACCAACAAATAAACAAGAGACTGTATCCAAGTCTACCTCGTACTGTACCTCTATTTCAACTATGTCACGTGACCGTGCTAGAACACGTTCTCCGTTGTCCTCTAATTGATCTATTTTCACATTACAAGTAGATTAGAAAACATAAAACAAGTCACTGAATTGTCTTCTTCTTTTGCATCGTCTTAGATCAATCTAAAAGTTACAGATTATAGTAAATAAACATTTGAAAGTAACAGGTCGGTCCAGGTTCAAAATATCCGCTAGATGTAACACTTGTCTCGTCCCAGGTATGTATAGATATGATATTATCATCTTTAAACACATTGTCCTCATGCATCATGTGATAGGGTCATTATATGACCCAACGTTTAGATAAATGGGTAACCTTTCTGTCACGCTAGAGAACGTCCTCTGGTGGCCAAGTTGCTGTTTTCAACTCATTGGATCGAGTGAGGCAAACTTTACCCGAATCTGTTCGACAATAGAACTACAAACTACGTAGTTCAGTCCCGGAGGGCAAGACATGCAACTTGCCTAATGGGGACGTGCCCCTGAAATGGATCTCGTTTTTTGGACTTATTTCTGGTCAAGATAGGTATAAATATCAGTCAAAATACATATTTTAATAATCAATATAAAATGCAACTGTTGGCTTACATGTGCTTCTATTGGAGAAGTTCTTCTAATAGAGCAAATACGGTAACTGTTTTATTTGGAATAAACAGTGGTGACAGTAATGGTACTTTCGTATAAATATGGGTATAGATTTTGCCACTATCCAGGTATAAAAATGGTCACACTTTTGAGCACTCAGGGGCACCTCCCTACCTAGCTATGTATCAACAGTGGTTCAAGGAGATGTCTTTTAGTTCTAACAAATAATTAAGCTTGTAAATTGAGTTCTTATGTAAATGTGGGCTAAATTGTGCTTGGATAAATTAGAAGCTCACAAAATTCACTTGGTTATTACTGGTGCACAGAAAAAAACATTTTCAATGCAAATATTATGCACGATAATATAATGACACTCAGAAAGTATTTATTTGGGGGTTTTACCTCCCAAGCACCGTAAATAGCAAAATTCAGATTAGATTAAAACATTTAAGAATGTTTTCTCTAATGTATTAAAATAATTTCACGGTAAATTGTGATAATTGATGGAAACCTTGTGATGTTGCTAGTGGTGTATTGGCCACGGGGATCTGACGATCTAAGTATAGCTGATAGGTTCTAGCAGAAAGTATAATTGACCACAACCTAGTAGTTATCCATTTTGATCCATTGCTTAGAAATCATGAGAAAACGTCCCAAAACGCCGCCGCTAAGATTTTTCGGGTCTGTGTACAGTAGAAATATCTATAGGATGGAAACAAAACTCACATCAGCATTTGTTAAATGGAATCCTACCAGCCATACTTAGACCGTACGTCTAATCTCTGTGTCCACTGAGGCTGTAAATATACCAACTGACGAATATTAGTAATATATTGCTAAACGTAACTTCATTTAAGCGACCTCAAAGACAAACATCATTCAACACACATCAATGTTTTGTTTGTTTTAATGTTTCAAACCTACAGTAGCATACCGGCAAAATGCATGTTTTTAAGAAAAAAATGCATAAATTGTTATGCAAGTCCCATAGCTGCAGCGCAATAATTTAAAATTATCTCAAAGTTTGAAGAAATGACGGGTAAAGAGAAGAAAATCTTCTTCTCGCTATTTTAATTTAACATTCTGTTCATATATGATAATAAATCCAGTTTTAAAGTAATATCACGTAACTTAGCTCCATGATATTATGATATGACAAGATCACAACAAGCGATACTGGGGTCAGTGAACTTTTAACTAAGTCACGAACTATAGTAGTGACGAGAGCGAGATTTCGCTTGACTACGCCACAGCTGATTGCTAATTCTAACGGTGGCCGTTGTCTGTCGCCCGCTGTACTGTCGTTTTTACCCCTAACGGAATTGAATTTGAGAATGGAAGTCTATCCGACGACAGAATGGACCGAAGTTAACACAAACTTGATCTTCCAAAAGGTATGTATGGACAGTGTGAGTGTGGTACTGATGCAGCCTACAGTACTGTGTTTTTGAAAAAGCAATCATACTGAAAGTCTGTCAGTCACTGTCATCATGGAGCTAGCTCCATGTTTTCATGCACAGTGATACCATGCCAGATGACTGCGTGCTGGGACTACTAGTATAAACCTAGTTCATATGATTTAGGAATTTTTATATTTAATTAAGATAAGTAATAATATTGTTCTAGCACAGTAGTAATTGTGGTTGAATGGGGAGGGGGTGATCATCAAATACAACACTTATTTCCCAAGAAACAATATCAAGCATAATAATTAAATTACATACAGAAAGCCTATAAAATAAAAGAAAATCAATTAATGTATTGTTGTGCTATATTTTCAGTGTGATTTAGTTATAGTTTATTTTAAAAAACTTTAATGCAGCAAATACCAAAACTGAATTGTCAGATTTCATTAAGGATGTAATAAGCATTATTCTATTCTATTCTATTCTATTCATACCATGAATATTCAAAACAAATGCATTCAAGACAGTATGTATAGCGACAGTATCCTCTAATTTTATTCAGGGTTTAGACTAGACTAGCTATGCTATGCTATTTTCTGTTCCCCTTTTACCTTTATTTCTTTATGTTCCTCATATATATATATATATATATAATATTTATTATGGGTAAATAATATGAGGTTATCACCCAATATCGGCGCTTACTATGATCGTATCAACACAAGGGACATTTGACCCCCATTTAAGGTAGCGAGACTATTATTTGTGTTGAAAATTACGATTTTCACATTTATTTATTAATTGATGAAATGCACTAAAAACTTTCATGTGATAAAGTCAACATAACATAGAATGTCATGTAAGTTGGTTAAAATGTAGATTTTCTGAAGGGAAGCAAGGCAGCCTCAGTAGTGTTTTCCAAAATCAACAACACAGGTTTAATCTGTGTGCCTATAAGTTTCAAAGATAAACTCAAGACAAAGCAATGTTAGGATGTGTTATCAGTAGCTATCTGACACACAATGAGTGTTTCCAAACATTTGAGTGGTTTGTCTCCGCCCCTGTTTGTTTTACAGATTAGTCATTTGCATATGAATGTTTCAGACACAAGGTCACACAGCCACTGAAAAA